CCCCCCCCCCCCCCCCCCATGTACTGTGTGGAAACTTTCTTAAAGCCCACAAAGCCAATCTCCATTTGTTCTGCTTTAATTGTGCCTTTTAAATGTTGCTTGCTTAAAATAAGAGCGGGAATGTAGCAAGGCTACAAACTGTTTCTGCGAGTTAGTCTCTGCACTGAAATTAAGTCTTTCCATTATTAGTGCTGTGACCTTCCATTATTAGTGCTGTGACTTGAAACAGTTTACTGGATTGATGCTGTCAGCAAACTGTGAAAACTGTTTCTTTTGTGTGTAGCGTGCTTTGAGTAAGTGAAATAACTGATAGTTAAAATTAGATGATGAAAGGGCTATTCTTAAAGCTAAATATAGGAAGACCCAAACAAAAACAACCTGCAAGTGAAGTTCATGATGGGGGAGAACAAGTTGAGCATCGAACAGTGCCGTCACGTGTGGGGAGAGATTGGTAGGTATTTAATTGAGAGCCTGCAGCAGTTTAGGAGCTTGATACTTTGCTGGCAAGCAGATTTTTGTCATTGGCTGCATCTGTACTAACTTGCCCTGCATAATATTTCAAGTGTGCCACAGAAGTGAACAGTTTGATCTATCCTTTTCATAAGGTTTTGCAGATGGGAGTGTTGTGCTTACAAAAGGAGACATCACTCGAGATCGGCATAGTAAGACCCAGATCCTACATGAAGGCAGTTACCCAGTTACTGGTCTTGCTTTTCGACAGTCTGGCAAAACAACGCATCTGTTTGTGGTGACCACAGAGAACATCCAGGTGGGAAATTAATTTGAAAAAGCGAGAATCTGACTTACAATTGCACTGCCTTCAGAGTCTATTTCAGGTAAGCCCCAAAACCTTGTATTTTCTCCGTAGTCCTACCTGCTTTCTGTGAAAGACTATTCTCATCTGGAGCTGGACACTCATGGCTGTGGATTGCGTTGTTCTTCTCTGAGCGACCCCTCCCAGGACCTCCAGTTCATTGTAGCAGGAAATGAATGTGTATACCTTTATCAACCAGATGAACGAGGCCCCTGCTTTGCTTTTGAGGGACAAAAGCTGATTGTTCACTGGTATCGGGGGTATCTCATCATTGTCTCCAAGGACCGAAAAACTTCTCCTAAGTATGTTTCCTTGGAATAGTTGAATTTTCTATTTAATTGTTGCAGTTTCTGGCTTTCCCT